AGAGAGAGAGAGAGAGAGAGAGAGAGAGAGAGAGAGAGAGAGAGAGACTGGTGAGATAGATCAGCAAGTAAAGTCACATGCTACACAGGCCTGACAACTTTAGTTCAATCCTTAGAACCCATGTCAAGGCAGAAAGAGAAAACTGACTCCACAAAGCTGTCTCCTAACCTTTGCATACACACCATAATGCATATGCATCCACACACATTGTAAACACACACATAGACACAATCCTATTTGTTTAATGGGCTAGATCTTTGATGCGATGGTGCACACATTTAATTCCAGCAGTCTGGAGGTAGAAGCAAGCCAATCTCTGTGAGTTCCAGGCCAGACAATGCTGCATTGTGAAACCTGTCTCAAAGGGGAATGGGGAGGGCTAGAGATTGGCACAGTGCTTACTCAGCATGCACAAAGTCCTGGGTTTATCCCCAACACTGCACAGACCAAATGTTGTAGAACATACCTATAATCCCAGCAGTCAGGAAGTAGAGCCAGAAAGATCAGAAGTTCAAGGCTGCCAGGCAATGATACCACACACCTTTAATCCCAGCACTCAGGAGGCAGAGGCAGGTGGATCTCAGTGAGCTTGAGGCCAGCCTGGTCTACAAAGAGTTCCAGAACAGTCAAGGATGTTACACAGAGAAACCCTGTCCCGAAATAAAGTGTAAAACAAAAAAAGTTCAAGGCCATCCCCAGCTCCATAGAGAGTCTGTGGCCATCCTGGGATGCGGGAGAGCCTGTTATACAAAGAGGGAAAGGAAAAGAATCTCAGAGTCCAGCCATTTCTCACATTTTGTTACTCCCACCCTGATCCAAGCGGTCTTCTCTTTTCTGGATTATTGCAGTTGCCGTCTCCATGAGCCGCCTCTTTCTTACCCATTCTCAAACCCTAAGAGATATTAATGAATTAGTTCCATACAGAAACTGAGAGGACATGTGAGAGGAGATGGGGAGTAGAGAATGAATGAACATGAAATAGGAGTTAGGAATGTCAGCACCAGGAAATTACATGTGACCAAATAATCTAAAGATTGTATATGGTGGGGCTGGAGAGATGACTCAGAGGTTAAGAGCACTGACTTCTTCCACGGGTCCTGAGTTCAAATCCCAGCAACCACATGGTGGTTCACAAACATCTCTAGTGGGATCTGATTCCCTGTTCTTCTGGCATGAAAGCATACATGAAGATAGAGCACTCATACATAAAATAAATAATCTGCTTGTTTGTTTGTTTGTTTGTTTTTCTGTACTTTTGGAGCCTCTCCTGGAACTAGCTCTTGTAGACCAGGCTGGCTTGAATTCACAGAGCTTTGCCTGCCTCTGCCTCCTGAGTGCTGGGATTAAAGGCATGTGCCACCACCTCCTGGCTAAAATAAATAATCTTTAAAAAGATAAGTAAATACATGTGAGACCTGAACAGTAATGTAACAAGCTAAAAAATGTGACGAGAAACTTAAGAAAGTTCAATTTATGAATTTACTTATGGCATGTGCAGTGAGAAAATAGATGCTATCAAATTTTAATCTCCAAATATTTCCTCTTAATCTCTAGGCATTTGCAGACATGCTGAAAGTGAACAAAACTTTGAAGAGTTTAAATATGGAGTCCAACTTCATCACAGGCACTGGGGTGTTAGCACTGATCGATGCTTTGAGAGACAATGAGACCCTGACAGAGCTGAAGATTGACAATCAGGTTGGTGTTCTGCAGGAGCAATTCGGAGGAAACTGCAGCCCCCACTGCCAGGAGGACTTGCAAGAAGGGTTGTAACCCTCTCGGAAAGATGGTGGCAGAAAGGGGGTGATGAGACATTTGGGGATCCAGAATATTAATGTTTAACAGGCAAATACACAGCAAGTCTCTTTAAGTCAATTTAAGGAGTTAAATAGGTGGCTGATTTGAACTGGAAAGACTTTTACATGTGACTTAGTCCACTCTTCCCGTTCTTTGAGAGAGTCACAGATGCACTGTATCTGTAGTGTGTTACGGTACCAAATACAGAGAATATGAATAGAGTTGTTTGCATGAAAGAAGAAGAGATGCCTCAGTGGGTGAGAGCACTTGCTATGATTTCAAGAGGAACTGAGTTCAGTCTACAGTACCTGTTGTAAAAAATAAATAAATAAATAACTGGCCACATCTGTGTGGAACACCTCCAGCTTTGAGGGTCAATGAAAAGCAGGTCCCAGGATCTTGATAGTCAAAACAGCAAGTGTCAGGTCCAATAAGAGAAACGTCCCAGTACCCAGGTTGCTGTGAAGGCGCCATCTTCATCAGACAAGAACAATGCTAATACCTTCATGGGAGTGGGGCCACCTATTCCTAGACATACTTTTGTTTATGTTTTTATATTTTATGATCACATACATGCATACATTTGCACGTGGAGACCAGAGGTATTGGATTCCCTGGAGCTGGAGTAACAAACGGTTGTGAGCCACCTGATGTGGATGCTGGGGCCCGAACCTGGGTCCTCTGGAAGAGCAGCGAGTCTTCTTAGCTGCTAAACCACTCACCAGTCCCCCAGACAAACTTTGTAAGAGGGGAAAATATACATATTAGAATTATTTCCACACAAAGCAACTGTTAATTTTTTATTTGAAAATTAGCTATAGGGACTGAGGAGATGGCTCAATGGGGAAGTGCCTGCTGCATCATCTTGTGGACCTGAGTTTGGATCCCCAGCACCCACAAAGAAGCAGGGTGTGGCAGTGTACATCTTCAACCCCATCTTTACAGAAGCAAAACCAGGCAGATCCTACAGGCTTACTGGCCAGCCAGCCTAGCCAAATCAAAGAGCTTCCAGTTCAGTGAGAAACCCTGTCTCAAAAAAGGTAGAGAATGATAGAGAGAGAATAGAGAATGATAGAGAATAGAGAATGATAGAGAAAAGCAGTGTCCACTTCTGGCTGCTGCCACACACATGCACAGGCAGACACATGCCCATACATACACACAAAAACTTGTTATTTGAAAAGATACTTGTCAAATGATTTCCTGAGTCCTTCACAATAAATAAATTTTGTAGACTGTGAAGATAGAAAAGAGATTTGGTTACATCTGAAAATTAAACCAAGATGTTTCTTAATCCATGGTCTCAAATTTTTAATAAAAGTATAACTCAGTAACCTAGCATAAAGTCCTGGAGGGTCCATTCATGTCACAGTACATATGAAAACTCCAATCTGTACATGGCTAAATAATATTCTGTCACGTTTTAGAGTTTCTACTTTTGAGCTATTAAAATAATGCTACAAAGCTGGAGAGATGGCTCAACAGTTAAGAGCCCTTGTTGCTCTTGGAGAGAACCTGGATCCAATTCCCAGCATCTCAAACTCCAGTTCCAGAGATTCTGATGCCAATTCTGATCTTCATGGCACCAGGCATGCACATGGTGCACATACATACATCCAGAAAAAGGCACAACTCATGTGCATGACATTTTTAAGAATTTAAGAAAAATAATTCTCCTTAGACATGAAAATGAATATTCATATCTAAGTTTTTTATGAACATACGTGTTTATTTCTTTGGGCCTATACCTACGAGTCAAACCACTGGCTAATAAGATAATTTCAAGTAATGTACCAAAATCCCACTTTGCTACATTCTTGAAAACCACTTAAACAAACAGAAGGGTCTCACCGTGTTGCCCAGACTGTTCTTGATCTAAAATCAAGCATTTCTCCCACCTCAACCTGCCCATAACCTGGGATATAGGTGCACACTACCATGCTTGCTGCTTGTTCATCTTCTTGTTGTTTGTTGGTTTGATCTTGTTGGGGCCAAGGTTGAGATAGTCTCACGTAGCCCAGGCTAACCTCAAACTTCTCTGATAGAAGATGACCTTAAAGGCCTGCATTCAGCTGCTAGTACTGGAGTCACAGGTGTATGCAGTCCTAGGAATTGAACCCAGAGCTTCATGGATTCTAGGCAAACACCAGCTGAGCGATTTCCTCAACCTTTCTGTCTTCTTCGTCATACCCATCCTGTGGGTGTGAGGTGGCACAGTATCGCACTTTTTTATTTCTATGGAGCTTTAGTGTCTGTTGAACTTTTAAAGATGTGTTTCTAATAAATGTTGTAGAATTGTGAAAATTAAGAGACCATCAGAATCAGCATGGAACTGAGTCTTAAATTTTATTTACGTAAAAAATGTTTTTATCTGGTTTCTTAATGTTATTCTTTGTTTCTGATCCTTCCAGAGACAGCAGTTGGGCACAGCTGTAGAATTAGAAATGGCTAAGATGCTTGAAGAAAATACGAATATCCTTAAATTTGGGTATCAGTTTACACAGCAGGGACCCCGAACCAGGGCAGCCAATGCTATAACGAAAAACAACGACTTAGGTAAGATATATACAACATTGAGTCAAGTTTCTGAAGTACAACGCCAAGCTATATTTAGAGCTAAATTTTAGCATAGAAAAATAACCTGTTCTTAGCGTCCAATGCTGCTCATTCCTTTACGCAGTGAGTCTGAGCTGTGCCAGGCTGTAGTGGTCTTCATGTTTGTTACCACTTCTGTGACAAGCAGGTATTAGCTTTAAGTGACACTTACCATGACAGGTGTTTTGTTCGTGTTGACAGTTACTCCTTGTGCTTTGAAATAAAGAGTTTGACACCGCCAGAAAGTATTCTGCCTATTTATCAAGCAGACTCAGACAGAAATTCAGTTTTATATTATGAAATGCAGGATAAGTACAGTTTGACTCCCTAGCCTCTCTGATGCATGCAGAGCCCTCCTGCGCTCGCCTGCCTCAGTGATCCGTTCTCCTCTGCTCCTTTTCCTGCTGAGTCTCGTGGTATCGGATGGAAATGAACTCTCTAGTCCTGGATGAGTTAATAAATACTGTGCTCGTAATTTTGTTTCTTTGTATTGCCAGAAAATGACTTCCTTTTCAGTTATGCTATTTACACTAAACCGTTTTACAAGATTCATTGTAGGCAAGAAGTAAAAGTAAGTCCTCTCAACAGCAGGGACATTTCTGAGCAACTACTTCTTTTAAGCTTCAGCCAGATTTCCTTTTCTCTAGCTACATGAGCAGTGCTGTTTAATTCCCTTTCTATGACAGTTGCCCACAGGATATTTTAACCACTTGCTTTTCAAAAGAGAAAACAGTATTTTGTGTACTCTTGGTTCTAGATGTAGATTTCAGTCAATTGTCTTAGTGTTGGTTTTCATCATTTATTTTCCTCCAAGTGTTTTGACTTTGCTGCTTAGAGAAGTGTTTCTAAGTCTGCACTGACTTTGTTAATAGCTAGATAACTTTCAAAACCTGGATTATTGGCTTCCCTCCCCTAGAGAGTCAGATTTAGGACAGGGTGGAACTTGGCACTGGGGCCCTTACGAAGTGCTTTAATCCTGCTGACTTCATGCTCACTGAAATCCTAGTTTGGTTATCAGGAGACATTTCGGTTTCTGAGTCTGGCATTAATGCATATCGTGAACACATGTGCCATATGTATTTTACATGTCGTGAACACATGTGCCATATGCATTTTCTACTTAACATTTGTCACGCTTTGAAAATTGTTGGGGAATATTATGGTAAGGTGTGTGACTTCTGTTATGCTACATTTGTTTAACTCTGTGAAGCTGTGATTCATTGCCTGTCTAAAACACAGTCCTAATAAAGAGCTGAATGACCAATAATGAGGCAGGAGGAAGGATAGGCGGGGCTGGCAGGCAGAGAGAATAAATAGGAGAACTCTGGAAGAGAAAAAGGAGCGAGAGAGAACAAGGAGAGAAGGACACCAGGGGTCAGCCAGCCACAGAGCGAGGGTGAAGATGTACAGAAGAAAAGGAAAAGCCCAGAGGCAAAGGCAGATGGGATGATTTAAGTTAAGAAAAGCTGGCTAGAAGCAAGACAACGTGAGGCCAGGCATTCAAGACTCCATGTCCGTGATTTATTTGGGAGCTGGATAATGGGTCCCCAAAAGAGCCAAAAGAGTAAAAAGATAAACAACAAGAAGTTGTAGTTCATTTAAAGTGTTTGAATCCAGATAATTTTTGAGCGGGGTCTTGCCGTTATAGCTCAGACTGGCCTCAGACTCCTGGAGATCCTACTGTTGCCTCCACCTGCGGAGTGTTTTGGATTATAGGCATGAGCCAGCGTGGTAGCCAAAACAGTCTTTTAGGGCAGACAAGATGGCTTACTGGGTAAAGTGGTTGCCAATGAAGCTTGACAACCTGGGTTTGATCCTAGAACCTATATAACTGGAGAAAGAGACCCTGTGTCGCACAGTTGTTTTCTGACCACACACACACCATAGCACATATGCACACATGCATTCACATATCGTACACAAGCATGGTGAATAAACATTTAAAAACAAAATAGTCTGTTTTCAAACATTACAAGTTTTTTGGCATAGGAACATGTTGCTGTCAGAAGTTATGTTCAAAAATCATGTCTGGCCCATAACAGGCATTTGTAAAAAAGTATTAAGGGACTGGGATACAGCTCAGGGATAGAGGGCTTGCCTAGCATGGTCAAGGTCCTGGGTTTGATCTCTAACAAAACCAAAAAGAAGAAGGGGGGAATAACTGTAAATTTATCTTTATATTCAGTTATAGTTTTCTGGTAACTGTATCATCTTAAACTAAACCAGACAAATCTTCCATTTTCCTCTCCTGAAACTACCTTAAATCCCAAAATGCCACCAACATATGTTACCCCAGTCATCTCTGTCATGGATAGATGACGCCCACAGGAATTGTGTAATTGCAGCCCATAAACATAATAAATAGTAGGGAAGTCCCTCTTCATTAGGTCCCTGGAGTTATGTTCTTGTACCACGCCAGCTGTGACAGATGCTGTGCCCAGGCCTACAGAGAAGAATAGTGTTAGAGTGCATGTGGATGAGTGGGCAGATCCGGGTGTCCTGGGCTGCCTTATGTGGACTCCAGCTGACAGCAGTGTACTGTGAGGATAAAGAGGCCATTTGGAAGAAGGTGCAGTCTGTCACAAAGCAGAACTGAGAAGCCCACATTTCTGCTAGGAATTTCCTAGACTGCCCTCATGCTGTCCCATTCTGATGCAAACTAGAGTTACAGACACAGGTCACGCATGTAAAGTGACAATAAGGACATTCCTGGAAGGGGCTGTTTAATGTTGGAGGCATTAGGAAGCTAGTATTGCTATATGATTAACACAACACTTTAAAAGAAAACATCGTTTTAGAGACTGAAAGTGAGGTTAGTTAAGACTTATTAACAAAAATTGAACCAGGTAGATAACAAGGACACCAGGTGACAAAGAAAAATCAAAACTGGCACTCTGTCCTTTGCTCGCTGCCTTGCTGTGCACACAGCAGCTGCCTCAGATCTGCTCCTTGCTTCCTTTTCTCTCAGTGCACTGTGCTCTCTACCTACAGACTAAGGCAGAGAGCCCAGGAACCGAGCTCTCTGACACAGGGATCCTGGCAACCTGACCTGACACAATCTGCTGGGCAAATAACGCTCCTTCAGCTTGCAGATGGGGCTATCTCAGATCTCTCCTCGTTTTTATAATACCTTCTCATTGTCTTCTTACTCTCAGCTGTCCACTGAGATACTTCTGCCTACTCGTCATCTCTCCACCTAAGAAAGAAGTGTCACAGCTATAGCAGAAGAGGTTGTATGGTACATATATAGTGGTCACGTCCACACTGAGCTGATCATCTGTGCACTCGCTAGCTGCATAAGCTGCTTTCTGTGGTGTTTTGTTTGCTGTGCTCTGTCCTGTAGATCCTGTCTGTAACACCTTTAACATTTTTTTAGCATGCATTTTAACATCTGAAATGGTTTGCCAAAACCAGCCAAACTCTACCCTAAGAATTGCTTGCTGTTTCCCTTTTGGGCATATATTTGTATTTATTTATGGTCTCCTTGGCTTTTTCCTCCCTTTATTTTTCAGTAGACACTTAAAGCTTGTTCCTCATTACTATAGGTTAGATCAATCAGGAAAGAGTGAGTAGGTAAGTATAGTTCTGGGAGACTGTAGCCTTTGCTTTGATTTTCTGACTCCACTCAACCAATGACTGGACAGTCCTTATACACACCAGTAAATGTCTGGTCCCAGCAGCCAGTAGTCAGAATAGCATGGGAACAGCTATTCTGTTGACTAGCGCCTCTGGCAGCCGGTTCGAACTAAAAAGAGGCAGTGCCTTGTGACTGGCTTTTAGAGGGGAAGTGAGGAATCAATAATCAGAGTCTGAGTGCACAGTAGCACAGGAGTACAGACCCTCGTGGTAGCCAGGTTGGCCTTTCCTCTCTAGAAGCATGGCTGACCATGCCTCAGGGCCAGCCTGTATTCTTGCAGCGGCAGACGGAGAGGAGCACTAAGCACTTGCCGTGTTCTCAACACTGCTCTGTGCAGCCCCTTATCACATGGCTGTCACGTGAAATACCATTATTCTCCTGTTACAGAGGAGAGCTGACACTCAGAGAGGCTGGCCGCCACAGCACACACTCCATAAGAGTGGCAGAGCTGTGCTGATGTCCCCTTGCCAGTGCTGCAACTTGCTGCTCTGTTCTTAGAATAGTGGTCAGCCATAGTGTCGAGTACTGACATGGTGGCTCCTGGTAAATGCCCTGGGTGACTGATAGTCAAAAGAGCAAGATAGCTGAAGACCTTACTTGTACCAGTGAGCTCAGAATGATTTCATGTCACCAGTCTATGAAAAGACTGAGCATTGTCAGGCATATGGATTGTGTTTGCTCCGTCATCTGAACTAGTTAGCTGGCCACTTTCTGATGGGAAATTTGGAAAAAGTTGTAAATCAGTTAGTACCTTTAGAAATGATGAAAGTATTTCTAGATTCCTTCAGTGTAAGGAAATATGTTGTATCTAACCAGGGGAACATTCAAAATATTTTAATAAAACTTTTTAGATTTTATTTTGTGTATTGCTGTTTTGCCTGCATGTATGTCTTTGTACCTTGTGTGTGCCTAGTACCTAGTGGAGGCTAGAAGTAGGTGTCAGATCCTCTGGAACTGGAGTTACAGACAGTTGTGAACTGCCATGTGGGTGTTGGGAATCAAACCTAGGTCCTCTGGAAGAGCATTTAGCCATTTCTCCAGCCCCCCTAATATAACTTCTTTTAACCACGACTTGCCAATGTTGTTGTAAATGTTACTGTATTAACAGATCATTTCTCTAAACGTAGACATACTTTTTTTTTTTCTAGAAGCAAATGACTTGAAACTTGAGTGCTGAACACTCACTGGCTACTGTACTAAATACTGTGTTTTAGGCCCTACCCCACTGTTACGTAAGCACCTACATCCTAAGACACATAACTCTTGTTTAGAAGCCTCTTGATTTTCATCAAGCAAATGACAATGGCAGATCACCGAGCCTTCTTTGTTAATGGTCATATGAATCAGAAGTACTCAGTTCATTTTTATGAGACATTAACTACTATGGAGAAACTTGTTACAAGCAAGTTAGCATTTTGTAAGCGCACAGGGATTTATAATAGGCTTTTTTTTTTCACAGTGCGCAAGAGGCGAATTGAAGGAGACCACCAGTAAGAATGCCGAGGTAACCTTGGAAGCCTGCAGATCACCAGAGGCTCCTGTTGGGACAGCAGATGTAAAAACTTCCTGGGTAGAAGGGAAAAGACTGGAAATCTTTTTTTAACTATATGCATTATTTTCCTAGCTTAAGGTATTATATTTGATTTGTAAAATCAGTGATGGGTAGTATTATATTTGTAGTCTTTCTACTGAAATCATTTTTATTTAGCTTAATTGAATGGCTTATAATTTTTAGATAAAAATTTAGAAGTCATGTATGTAAGAATAATTTTGAACACCTTGAGGACCAATTTTTTAAATCAAAAAGGGACATTGCTGACTCAGTGTTGCTCCTTCACATAAAGGGTAAGGCACATGGCAGTTTCCTTTCTTAAAAATCCATGAATTTGACAAGAGTTTGCTTTTTCCTTATTAGGGAAATAAATTTTCAGAATTTTAAAAGATGGCTCAACATCTGATTTATCTCCATAAGCCAGCACAGGCCTCCAGGAGACAGACCGGTCCTCCTCTGGGAGACAGAATGGGCCTCTGTGTTTCAGGCTTCTGGACTTGTCCACTGAGCCTCAGCTACACTGGGGTTTTTGTTTGTTTGTCTGTTTGTTTGTTAATACTCTGTAATACTGCCCCACTGCCTGCCTTGTTTAAAAGTGTAGTTATATCTAAGATTACTACAGTATTTCATCTTGCTTCGGGCATTAAATTTTTGTAAAAGCTAATGGTTAAAGAGCATCAAAGTAGAGAGGTTATTTTCTTCCCCATAAAAGGCTCTTGGGCAATGCTCAGTTACTTAGAGTAAAAGAAAAAAGAAAGGTGCTGTTAGATATAGGAGGGAGTTCAAGCCCAAGAAACTCGCAACATGGCCATTAAAGCTGGTGAGCACTGTCAGTTAGAAAGTAAGACGTGAGCTAGCTGTGGTGACTCGCTCCTATAATCCTAGCACTCGGGAGGCTGAGAAAGGAATGGTTCCAGATGTTCAAAGCCAGCCTGGACTACATAGGAAATTCCAGGTTAGCTTGGACTACAGATGTAGGAACCCAGGTCAAGAAAAGAAAAACCTGTACTGTGTGGTAAAGCATTCCATACATGATTGCATAGGTGCAATGCAGCATTGCATACATGGAGTTAATCCCCACTCCACAGCGTTCCAGCCAATCGCAAAAACTGCCGTTCTTCAGAAATCCAACTTTAGCAGATGCTTGCTTTCATATTGTACTTTTAAAAATCCATATGGTTAAAAAAAATTCCTATAGCATAGATTATCTTTATCACCCAGGCATTAGAGTGAGGATTTGAGGGTATACTGCAGACTGGGGTTGTGCGAGGCTGCACACTGATGCCCTGTCCCAGAGCCGTTCCTACAGAGGGAGCAGCAGAGGCATTCACAGCCACAGGCAGTAGAGGAAAAGGTCCAGTGTGAATAAGTTGACTTTTGTTTATACCATTCCAGTTCTATTCTGTAATACGTTATAACTGAAGAAAATACTTCTTTATAAGTAACTTAAGTGTGAACTCATTTGATTAAATAGATATGTCTTAAGAATTATAATGGAGAGGGCTGGAGAGATGGCTCAGCGTTTAAGAGCACTGACTGCTCTTCCAGAGGACCCGGGTTCAATTCCCAGCACCCACATGGCAGCTCACAACTGTCTGAAGATCCAGTTCCAGGGGATCTGACACCTTCATACCAATGCACATAAAATAAAGTTAAATAAACTATAAGAAATATTAAAAAAAGAAAAAAAGAATTATAATGGAGGCCAGGCATGGTGATGCACGCCTTTAATCCCAGAACTCGGGAGGCAAACGCAGGTGGATCTCTGCGAGTTCCAGGACAGCCAGATCTGTTACACAGAGAAACCCTGTCTTGAAAGAAAAAAAGAATTTCTAATGGAAAACAGTGTTTACCTTGATTTTTAAAAGTCTGGCACCTCTTGACTTTTTAGTAACTCAGTATTTTTAAATTCCTCTGAGATCTTTATGACATAGTAATAAATTAGGACTTTGTAACAGTTTTAATTTTAAGCCAGAGATTTTCTAAGCCCTTGAGTTTTATGTCAAGTTAAATTGTTATCTAAGAATAACATTCATGTTTTTAAATTGCTCTTTTAAAAAGCTTAAAATTGCCCATTTTATAAAACTGTGTATTCATTTTTGTATTGTTACAATTTTCATTATGTCTACATCAAAGTGTATACATTAAATTCAATGTTACTGGCTAATATTAATACCTTGAACATAGATTTTGGTGGTATACACTTATTATAACTAAAACCTACTGGAGTTTAAAAATAAGTAAAATACATTTTCTAAAAGTGCCTGTCATTTCAAAGACCAAATAAGCATTTTGTATTGAACATATAAGCAGCTGTTGGTGATTCCAAGGAGAGTGTCATGGTCATTAAGTTATACATTATCACTGGTCACATTAGCCACACGCTTATACAAGGGCCACACTCCTGAAAAGGTGATGTAAATAGAACTTGAAAATTTGTTTCCAACTGATGATCCCTTCATGTGTTTTTCTTTAAAGGTGGTATAAAAAAAATATAAAAGAAAATGTATTAATAAAGTATTAGTTGTATATACCTCATGTTTAACCCTTATTGCCACTAAAAGACATTATTAAGCTTCATAAAACCTGTGGTTCCCAGGGCTGTCTCAGTTTTTCTGTACAAAGTCAGGAGCCACTCTTCCCACTGTTACCCAGCAGCTGAATCATGGTTCAGCTGCAGTCACAGCCACTGCCGCCCTGAAGCTTTGCCGTGTCTGACTGTGTCCTCCAGCCCTGCTCCGCTCTGAACAACATCAACTGAAGACATGCCTCCCAAGAGAAGTGAAGCTGTGAGCATTCGAGAGACAACTGCTGCTGGTGCTGCCGGGCACAGGTGTGAGCTTCTGTCTGCTGGCCCGTCTTCTCCATCAGTTCTCACGGATCTCGGCAGTTCTAGGTCATCCTCCCTCTTCACACTTAGAGCTGCTACCAAACTGAGTGAGAGTAAGGAGGCTTTATGTCCTGTTGACTTTTCTGCACTGTAATCTGATTCCATTAATCTTTCCTTATAAAAATTAAACATAGGGGCTGGAGAGATGGCTCAAGCATTAAAAGCATTGGTTGCTATTTCAGAGGTCCTGGGTTCGGTTCCCAGCACCCACCTCAGGCAGCTCACAGTCTCCTGTCACTCCAGTTCCAGAGATGATGCCCTCTTTGGGCTTCTGTGGGCCCTGCACACATGTGGTACACATATAGACAAGCAGGCACACACAGAAAGTAAAAATATGCAGATTTTATAGTAAATATAACATTTCATTTTAAATTTCACTTTTCAGTCTGTCATTTAGAAGGGGTAACCTTGAGATCAGCTAGAAAAAAAGACACTTCTAAGTAAACTACATTAATCATTGCTGCATCTTACTTTTATGTTTTTGCTTTGTCGTGTATTTTAGAAAGCCTTAGTTAACGGGTAAAGAGTTGGACCTGGGACCCCCATTTTAAAGGCCAGGTGGAAATAGACTGCAACACGGAGATACCACTTACTCTGTCGCTCTGTGGCCAACTGATGCAAGTTCACACCTTTAGGGTGACCCTCACCCTTCGAGATGTCATTCCTTTTTCTACATTGTCAGTGCTTTGATGCAGAGAAAACCCCATCAAAATTTTTGGATATTGTAGTTTATATATCCAGATAAGCTTAAGAATGAATTCTTAGTACTTCTTTTTTAAAATGTGTGTGTGTGTGTGTGTGTGTGTGTGTGTGTGTGTACAGACACATGTGCATACATTTATGTATGCCATGGTACACGTGGAGGTTATGGGACAACTCTGTGAATGAAGCCTGTTCTCTCCTAGAGAGCAAAACAAGCACCTTTACCCTCCATACCAGCTCACATCCCCCAAGTTTTTTAAAGCTGGATTTGTATGTTTACAACCTGTAATCCAGAAAGCCCAATTACAATTTTCACAAGGGCACCAAGGACACAATGACTAAGAGTTTTCTTCCTTTCTCCTTGTTTTCATTGCAGTAGCTATACTATATATGCTTTCAACTGAATAAATAAAATAAAAATAACTCCCAATGCAGAGTTCTTATACAACTCCTAATAATTCAGATATCTCAACTTCGGTTACTAAGAAAATACAGTTGAGGCCATGTAGTATCAAAGCAGCTGGTTGTGCAGGTTGAGCCACGCTGTGCACTTACAGAATGCCTGAGTTGAAGATCTCCAGCCCCAAATGCCAATGCCAGAGTCAGAGCCAGTCTGGCTTCCTGCTCTTCAGCCTCCAGCCTGCACTCTCTAGTGCCTGCTGTTTGCCTCTCCATCTGCAGCACTGATGCAGCACTGTTGGCTGCTGAGGCAGAGCCGCATGCATTCTGTTCACCTGGATCTGCTCAGCATACTCACTGTATCTTCGTTGGTGTTCCACAAATGAGATCCGTGCTTGAGTTTACTTTCTGCAGTATTCATGTGTCTTAGGGCTTCTAGGTCATGATGATTTTGTCTTCTTTTTGGTTTTTTGAGGCAGAGTTTCTCTGTGTAGCTTGAGAGCCTGTCCTGGAACTCGCTCTGTAGACCAGGCTGGCCTCGAACTTACAGAGATCCGCCTGTCTCTGCCTCCCGAGTGCTCAGAATAAAGGCGTGCGCCACCACCGCCCAGCATCATAGAAACTCTTATAAAGGACAGCTTTTAATTGGGGCTGGCTTAGTTCGGAGGTTTAGTCCATTATCATGGAGCGAAGCATGGGGCATGCCAGCAGGCATGGTGCTGGAGAAGGAGCTGAGAGTTCTCTATCTGGATTGCCAGACAGCAGGAAGAGAGTAACAGCCTGGCTTGAGCTTCTGAAACCTCAGAGCATACCCCAATGACACACTTCCTTCAATAAGGCCACTCCTAATCGTGCCATTCCCTAGTGGCCAAGCTTTCAAATATATGAGCTTATGGGGCCATTGCTAGTCAAAGCACCACATCATCCAACAGCCGTCTCCACCTCAGAGAACACAGCTCCCCGGCCACTAAAGTCAAGTTGAGCCCATTGTGGCCCAGAGACTGTTTTCTGTCTCAGCACACAACAGAAGTATCCTGGTGGAAGGCAGAGCTGCTCCACCTGCCAAGAGCCTGGTTTCTTGATTGGATCTGGGGAAAACTGTAGCCCTCAAGACTGTCTTTTCCAGTGATTAAAGGTGACAGCAAACTGAGGTCACCAAGAACAGGACCCTTCGTTATTGTGTATCTTTGTACGTCTGAGTTTGGCTTGGCCCCATAGACACTCCCCTTCCCCCCTTACCCAGCAATGTGCCTTTTTAATGGGCCTGATAGTGGGGTGCACATTTAGACTTTCACCGGTTGCCACATGAGGACACTGCAGTCTTGTGCACTTGAGGGTGCAAATGTTCCAGGCACTGCCTTGGAGGCAGACTGAAGCATCAGGAGACAGGTTTCTCTTTCCCCTCAGCAAGAATCATCGTTTTCCTTCTCTCATAGCTAGTAAATACCATTCTTGATGCAGTGTGAAATTTCAAGTTCTGAAGCTCTGAAAGCCAAGGCCTGAGTGCCAAGAGATTGAGATCTGGTTTGCAAGTGGGCTCCTAACTGAATGTCTGTGGCAGAACAAGAAGCAGCAAGTTCCCTCTAGGTGTTTCTCAATCGGTGTGTGTAGCAATTTTTAAACAGTTTATTTCATCTCTGCTTAAAAAGAATATGACGGTGAGGTTTCTCTTGGTTTTTGTTTAATTTTTAGAGCAAGTTCTCACTGCCGAAACTGGCCTCCAGATCGGGAGATCAGTGAGCTCAGCCTCAACCTCAGCCTCCTGAGTAGCTGGGACTACAGACATGCATCGCTTTGCCCAGCTGAGCATTTAATTAGTAGTCCCAAGATTTTAGATTTCTGTGCTTAGGAATTGCTGTTTACAAAGTGTTTCCCAGGCTGGGGTAGAATCCTTGCACATAGCCTGAGACAGTAGAGTCCTGCTAACCTAAAGCCTTTAAAAAAAAAAAAAAAAAAGCAAGCTTACTGATTCCTATCTGTAGGGACTCAATCTTTGTATCCTCCCCAGTCCTCAGGCTGAAGATGGGCCTTTGGAAGGCAGAGGAAGAAAAAGTACACACGCACACACATAAAGCCCTTGTGAATTCGCATCCCCGCTTTATTTCTGTTCTGATCTTGTAAATAAACCACATTTGGTTTGTTTTTGTTTGAAGCCTGAATAGGCTTTTATGGCAGTAAATGTTTCTCTGGTCTTTAAAATGGGGCATTAAGTAAGGTTTTTCTAACACTAACATACCAAAACACTAAATGCTTTGTAAGTAGAAAAGCAATGAATTTTCTGACATTTCACAAGTATTATCCACCCAGTTTATACAAAGTAAAGTTTCTTTTGAAGACTAGACTATAGGCGTTCAAAACATGCTGTATACTAAAACAGGTAACTTTATTAAAATTCATCAAATATCCTGTATTTAGACTTTATGTATGAAGATGCCACTGAGGCCCACTGCTTTGTGTGA